GTTAGATCCCTAGTGTCGTTTATGCACAGTGATGAGAGGTACCATACTTGCAAGTCAAAGCTGTTTATTGACTTCCGTTTTTCAATCATATCTTGAATAAAATCACCCAGTGATGCAAAAATACTGGACAATCTTTATAAACCTCTTAGTTGAATGTTCTCTTATTGTTTGAGATGTTGATTTAAATGCCAATATCACAACGACTGACCTAAAATTGTTATATTACAGATCATTCTATTGTAATTCACCTATTTATCGACTTTAACAATCTTCCATTTTTAGCCATCCGGTCATTATTATTTTTAAAATGTGTATTTATTGAGTTAAAACTATTTACTAATGGAATAGATAGTTAGTCGTATGAATTACTTACATTTTTTTCAAGACCTATTTGATCTAAGGATAATTTCTTCCGATGAGCGACCTCAAACCAAGAACTATCACAAACCATAAAGCTTCACAAGAATTCATAATCTTTCACTTCAGATGATTTCCAAACTACGAAAACTAACTTACCTGATACCTAGTGGTTTTAAGTGGTTTTTCAGTTGATGCAACATTCTGTGATGAAAATGTTATAACCGAATTCACATATATCTATAAACTTTTTATCATATTATTATAAACACACAAACCATACCTACTTTTATGTAAAAATATGTTCTTTTTCAAGCTTTTAATACAATATTTATAAGACTATGATAACCTTGGCTAATTAAAATTTTAGTTCTAGTCACTCTCTCATTGATCTTATATATATTGCGAGTTTTCACCTACAGAAAACTCTATCAGTATCAAACAATGCTTCACCATTTACACTAAATGGTGATTACAGACTAATCACTCTCATTTTTATCCTGCCTCAAGTGCTGATCATATTCTCTCAATCGGATAACAAGATGGCAACTTCAGTCTTAAAAGAGGTCAACCGGAGCCTAAACGGCTTTGATGATAGTGGTTCTAATGCCACGTGGAGTATCATTTTTCTGAGAAAGTAAAATTATGTCTTGTTGATGAGTGATGACCAGCATAAAACCCTATTTCAGTGTTTTCTATCGATCACCTCTATCCACCTAATTTCGAAATCATAAAAGCAATACTTTAAAAAATCTAGAAATCAATGTGGATATTTTAATTTGGGCCCCAGTTGATCTAGAAAAGCTAGAGCACTGATATAGACATTATAAATTATAAAAGCAAATAATGGTTAATATTAAATTGCATATACTCTCATCATAGCATAAGTGAATTTAAGGAATGAGTGATTATTTGATTTAATTGAGATTATTTAGGCTTTTTTACAGCATTCCATAAATTCATACAAAACAATAAATACAATTGACAATAACTTTATTGATCATCACTATGGGTTGATCCATCTATATCGCTGATGTAGAGACAGAAATTCACTTAACCCTGATATGCTTAGTTTAATGTATACCATCGTATAAATTATAACATTTCAATCGCATACTTAAACGTTATTGTTACTCTGGGTTGATTACCATCGCAGTAGTCTAACAATGTTAAGTTTATTACATACCTTTTCTCAAGTCACTTAACCGGGATGCAATTAATTTTTTTAGTAATGTTTTAAGTAGCAGTGAGCTTAATCGGCCTTACTTCGAAAATCGCCCGCTCGCACTTATAATAAATATTTTTAATTTCTAGCTAGAATCTGCAGTTATTGTTAACCTTGTAAAAAATACTTTTCGAATTGATACGACCCTATCCTTGTTGTTTTACTGCTAGTCTGTCATTCACAAAGAAAAACGGCCAGATGTGTATCATTTTTTCTAGGGATTAAGAATCATCTTAAGAGAATAACTTCCTAAGCCTCCTCAACCCTGATCTACAGTCCATTACTGTACAATACGTGTTCTTGTAAGGGTTTGCAACTGGCCAAGTGTATTGATTTCAATCAGTGTTGATACTTTTTCATGTTTGTCAATAATCTCACTACGTAACTTTGCGCTCATCAAGGTCCTTACATTTATATTTCTCACAATAACTAACATGAAAATGGAGCTACTTTCGAACAAAATTTATTTCATCAATAGGGATTAACTATGGTTTACTTGCTTGTAGATAACGTTTTGCGTAAAACGGGATTTATTTTCAAGTAAAAACCTTTCGGAATGCTATTATTTTCATAACTAACCATTTGGAAAAATAAACTTACGAAATATCTAAAAGGAAGTTTACTTTATCGGTGACCTGTACAGTCCACATACAAAGAAACAGAAAAGCATCATGTATTACGTTCCATGGACACTCAAACAGTCATTCCATTGAATCTGAGTGTCAACTGGAAGTAATGATTTGATAGTTCCTTTAATAGTTCAGCCATGCTGTCAAAAATATGTTAGCTGATGCCTGATTTTAGCTAGTGTATAATACCAGTAACGCTATAGGTAAAAATAAATCGATCACTTAATATTTATTTACATGATTCCGTGTGTGACATATTGATGAATATTATCAAATTGGATTTTTGTAACTTTTGAACATCGTTCCGATGGTTTTCCCAAAATGGAATCACAAACCAAAATATATTTACATCTTAAATTTAGTTTAGAAATAGATGAATGGCCACTTTTATAAAAGTATATTTGCTACCGATAGTGATCATACATATTAGTAAACCAGTTTTGTTAAATAAAGAAAAGGTCCCAGCGCTGGAATATCTCTGTGGTCAGCTTATACAATAAACAAGTTCTAACCATAACATGGAGCTCAGTGGAAACTTAGGGAAAACAACAATCAAGTATGAAAGTACGCTTAATTGAGATTAACTTTGGATTTAACACAACTAACTGGTAAACGTTTTTACCATTAAGCGCTTCTGCTCTTCATGTGCTTCAGTGATTTGTTATACATCTTCTTATGAATATTCATAAGGCTAAATTAAGTTTGTCGCCCTACTAAATCATATTGTTTTGATTCTTATAGATAGATGATTTTCTAATTCACGAGGTTAACCAGCAGGAAAGAACAAACAACTCGAGATGTATGTTTATTTATCTGTATTATTCATATAGATTATAGGGGAAAAATAATTAAATGGTGCTTTAGACCACAAGAGCCCATCTTATTCTAAACAAGGTTTATCATGAAGGTACAATCAGAAGTTTATGGGAATGGTTTATCAATAATAAAAAATTATTTATAGTTACAATTTTATCAATATATGGTAGCAATAAATAGCTACTTCGATAGACGTCCTAACTCCGGGCTAAGCTATGGTATAGGTATTTAAAATTAAATGAAGCGTTACATTGAAGATTTAGGAAGACCTGCATATCTGAGGGAAAGTACGGAACACACTGAAAAGCTTTTGTGCAATTTGACTATTCGGACTTCTCAGATGAATCAGCCCTTCTATCCCATACACATGAGCAAATACAGGTCAAGACAACTAGTGTAACAGAAGCTTCAATATCGATGAGCCTCAACATACATAAGAAAAAACAAGATCCTCAAACACAACACAGAGAACACCGATTCATTCACACTTGATAAAGAACTTCTGCAAGAGGTAGAAACTTTTACATATTTGGACAGCCTCGTATAAAAACAAGAAGGATCTAGTGCAGACGTAAGAACAAGGATTGGCATAACATGGACATCATTTCTACAGTCGAAGAACATATACAACTCAAAAAAACTGTCAACCAATATCAAAGTCACAGTCTTTAATACGAACATGAAGATAGTTCTACCGTATGGAGCTGAAACGTCGAGAACTACCACTACCATCATCATGAAATTACAAGTATTTATAAACAATTGTCTAAATAAGATACTGAATGTTCGTTGACTGGATACCATCAGCAACAGCCTACTGTGCGAGAGAACAAACTAGCTCCTACCGAAGCGAAAATTAAGAAAACATGATGGAGGTGGATAGGACATACATTGTGCAAATCATCAGACTGCATAGTAAGGCTAGAGCTAACTTGGAATCCTGAAGAGAAACGGAAAAAAGAAGACCAAAGAACACACTGCACCAAGAATCGGAAGTAGATATAAAGAAGATGAATAGCAAATGTAAAGGATTGCCTATGGCAGAGTTGGATGGAAAATGCTTATGGGCAGCCTATGCTCCTCCATGAGAAGCAACAGGCGTAAGTCAGTAAGTAGGTTACACTGAAGATCGTTTTTAATATTTCATTAGTAAGGTTATCATTTAAAATATCAGTACTGGTGAATGCGAAAGTGATAAAATATCTTTTTTTAAAGTGAAAAATAAGAGGCGCTTTTTCATTAATGGGAAACTGTTATCTGCGGTATTGGAAGTCCATTGCTTTCGGTCACTGCCACTAACACACCAAAGAAACTTATTAGAGGCTTTTGTTACTGCTGTTTTTGAGCGTTAAACTGTTTGCCTGATGCCATTACACAAAAATGACCTGAAGATCCTGAATACTGACCGTTATTGCCAACTTTAATGATGAAATGTCAAAAACTTCATCGAATATGAACAACTTATGATACTTTATTATTTAGAGCACTAGAATAACAGTCATATTTGATGCATATAATGTCATTGTTACAAAGCATCATTTGACATTAACTGTGTTTCAGTTTACAACCATTTCAAAACCCAATAGTCAACATGTAGGTATTGTCTCGGTAGTATTACGGAAAATACATCCACAAAGTTTAATACATATAACTGAAATTCACTGGCTTATTTCTTTGATCTAGTTATTAGTCGTGACTGCGTGTGTTATATGATTTTCAGAAGCTGTCGGAAATTAGTAGGGCTTAACTTGAATGTTATTTTAGTTGTGACTCAGTGGTGTTTTTCGTCCTTAGGTTTATTATCGTTATCTACAATGATTAGTAGACATGGGTATATAACTTATTACAATATATTCATATTTGAAATGGCTAAAGTTGATTTGTTTTTGAACAGCAGATAACTATTTTTAAACATCTGCATACTAAGACAATGAAAAATACCGTATTTATTTTTTCAAAACAGCCAAACTTACTATTGACTAAACTATGAAGTGCCAGCTTAACTTTTGAGAAGTTCCCTCTTCCAATATCCAGAACAAATCGATAAAATCCCAATCGTTTTCCAGCACGTATTTCATTCTTATAAGTTGCATCTTTAGAAAACTTTTGACATAATTTCTCGAAAACTGTCAGGCTTTCTGGTTGCTTTTGTACATTTTTTTGATCACTTTTATGAGTAGGATGCCTTTTAAATGAGGAAAACGATTCTGTAGAAACGTGATTATCGTCCGATTTAGTTGAATGACCCTGAAAAAAAGGAATTGAAATAATGTTGTTATATTTTACCTGACCATTAATTATTAGATAAATTAGTCAAATATATCTCTAATTGTTATAGAGACATAAACTAAATAAGTAAAAATATTTCATTACTTCGAACTATTCAGAAGACCAAAATTAATGACACATATAAAAACTCACCATATTTCTTGATAAAGAGGCGATGGAAAACTGCCAAGTTTAAACTAATTGATTTGCATACAATTTGGACAAAATACAAATATAGATAGTTGTAGAATACTCATAATCATAGAAGAGTAAATATGCATCGTTTCCGACAGTATGATAGGGTTACTGAAAGTCAGTGCAAATTACGAAGTATCGTTCAACTATTAGCAACTTCATGTCTTATTTAGTTAATTGTCCACAAGAATTTTGAACTTTCCGGACTATTTTCCTGTTTTTCATCAAGAACAGCGGACTGCAGTTCGTTACCAGTGAAGCACTAACTTAAACAGAAACGCATGAAACTTTTATCGAAATAAATTCATTGTACAAAATCAGCACTCCCGTTTTGTGAAAATCTTACATGCTAAACTAAAAAATTTTATTCGGCATAAACTATGATCGTGAAACCTCTTCATTTCTATCCAAGACCAACTCCTATGACGATCCCTTAAACTATGAACAACGATTATTACAATTTTTCTATGAGAGATGTTCTATTCCCACAGTCTTTTAATCCAAACTGCAGCATTTTCAATAATATGACAAGCAATGCAACAAAAGCATACGCCGCCTATTATTTGTTATTTACAGATTAGACATCTCAACTGTCAACTCTTCTTTTTGCAAAAATCCTTCATTTCGACCCTATGACTGTATTGTGAATTATTTTTGAGTTGAAATCGCCGCAAAAACTAATGCATTAATATTATGATTTGTCTTAAATATAGGCTGTGTATTAATATTAATGATGAACATATTCTCACAAATGTAAATTTGTGTTAACGTGTCCTACAGGATGATAATCGAGACATATATCTTCACTCTACAAGTAGAAGTCAGAGATTACTCAATTCGGGTACAATGACTATTTCACTAAACATAAGGCCATAGATCACAAGAGAACATGAATGTTAGAATCTGAATAGTGAATAATATGATAGTAATGAGTATAAACTTAGTAGTTAATTTCACATAAAGGTATTAAACTCACGTTCATATAGCCATTTCTTTCAGGCGGTGTTACAGATCTCTCTTCTAAGCATTGTTTAGCGTATCTGTCTAATCCTTCTACTTCTGAGATTGCGGGTCTTAATTGGCCACCAGGTGCAGCAAGGTAATTATTATTTTGCAATTCGTTATTACGTATATCGACTCCAGTATATTCACGGGATAGCTCATGATAAGACATTTCAGATTCGCACCAGTGGATAGTTAAATTTCGTTCTAACTTTCTATTTTCTTCCTTGCCATTACTCAAAGCACTTCGATTGTGTATAGTTTTCCCATTTTGAATGTGTATTTCACGAGGATAGTTTTTATTCATCTCATAGAAATTATACTGTGTGTGATGAAGAAAGATAAATCATTATGAACAAATGTTTTTCAGATGGTCTAACAAAAGACAATCGTGGCTCAAAGTAATGCTGAATAAGTACAATCAATTATTGAGCTTTTAAAACAAATCAATGCCCTAGGTTATGTTAAAAAGCTTATGAAGACTTTTTCACAATTTTTAGTGAAAAATTCATATAACAGTTCCTTAGCCCCTAAATTTGATCGATTTCAAATATAAATATAGGTCTTTTATATCAAACGTTAAACTTTATCATGTTGAAGAAGAAGACTATTGGTTGCCTAGGGTCTCTATCTGAGTTATAGTACGAGCTCCTGACTGTCAGAAAATGAAATTCTTTTCTAGTTCCTCAAGAACCCAAAATAACGAAGCCTTTATTACTAATAAAGGAGGGAGCGGAATAGCATCTAGAGTAGCTACCCGCAATACCATTGAAATATATTGAAATTTTAACCGCTTTTGATTAGTTTCCACAGGGTACGGTCACTGCTTCCCATGCAAGGAAATTTTTAAGTTTACCAACTCTACCTGCAAATGTATGCACGCATTTCTTCTGGAAAGCGTAATTGTCGTTTGCTACCGAAGTATATCCTGAATTGCTCGGCGTAACTTATATTTCGTATATTCATCGGCGGATGACAACATAATGCTGAACGGTGATTCACTGTCTAGGCTTGTGTCTGCTTAGTGTAGCAATAAATGAATTCCCAAAATAAATAGTTACGTACGTCTTCGAATTTCGATACTGAATACATTAGCCTTGATGGGCTCACCTAGCTGAAGGCGCTCGGTCATACATCCTCACCAGATTACGCCATTCTCAACATCCTCTGCAATCGCTAACGACTCTAGATAAGTCCATCCACGATATATTGATAGCCTATCAAATATATCTTCGAATCTCCTCGCTTCTGTTTTTTGGTTACGAAGTGAGATATCAAATTTCCAGTTAATGGACACGAAAATATTCGAAGTGATGCATCTGTACAGCTAAAGGTGTACACAATTAATCGTAATGGATATATTCTATTTTTCGATAAATCCACGAGACTAGCCCAGACCGTTGTTTAGTGGCTTCTAAGTTTTTACATAATGAAGATGCCACGAGTATTTGTAGTTTGACAGCGCTTTAACCAGTAACACCTAATATGAAGCGTACCCACCGAGTGAAATCAAAAGACAGAAGCGAGGAGATTCGAAGATATATTTGATAGGCTATCAATATATCGTGGATGGACTTATCTAGACTCGTTAGCAATTGCAGAGGATGTTGAGCACGGCGTTCCCACTCGTTATATCATGATAAATCTATAATTTTAGGATTAGGTCAATTATTAGAGTAGTACTAATATCATAGTAGACCATTATTCTACAGGTGCTTAAGTGTCCTGATGTGCAAGCATCGTTGCTTCGGCGATAATTTCCTAAACTGTGGAGAATGCTTTTCGCACGGTATCGTCCAAACTGATGGACTTCACATTTCCACGAAGTTGGTCGGTCGGCGGTTTCACAAGTGACGCGCATTTCGGTATGAAACGTCTATAGAAACTTACAAGGCCGTTAAATGTCCCTATTTGCTCACTGATGGTCGGTTCTGAGTAATCCGGAATAGCCGCCTTTTTGCTTCTCAGGGGCGGATGCTTTGAACATCTATAGTTTGCCCGAGGAAGTCAGTCCCGATTTGGCATTTCTGAAGGTTTACAGTAATGCCATGTTTTTGTAGTCAGTCGAAAACAAGATTCAGATGCTGGAGATGAGATTCTCTGTCTGAACTTGCTATTAGGCAGTCATCAACATACGCATGTACGAAGTTGAGACCTCGAAAAACGTCTGCTATGAACCTTTGGAATATTTGGGCAGCATTTCTTAAACCGAGATGCATTCGCGAAAATTCGTACAGTTCGAAGGGAGTTATGATGGCGGTTTTCAGAATATCGTCTGTAGCCATAAGGATTTGGTTATACGATTTAACTAAGTCGAATTTCGAAAAGACAGTTGTACCTTTCAAGGTAGCTGTCAAATCTTGAATGTGAGACAACGGGTAACGATCAGGAATGGTTTTCGCATTCAGTCGACGATAGTCACCATTTCGACGCCAACCGTTGGTGTCCTTAATAGGAAGCATGTGCAACAGAGATGCCTATGAGCTGTTTGGCGGTTTTGCGATACCTAAATATATCATGTGTGTAAGATCCATTTTGAAGGTTTAATGTGTTGGTGAAAATCCCTCCATGTATATACTTGTACTTTATTCCTATTGATCACATTAGTTGTACATTGTTGTATTTTGATTACATTTGAATTGTTAATATTTGTATTTTTGTTATAGTTCTTGTTTTTATTACGCATTCACTAAGTTTGTATTTCTTCCTGAACTGCATCTGTGTTGTTTTACTTGACACTTGTTCTTGGCGGTAGCCATATTGATTTGTTCCTCCTGTTGTGTGTGATCTATCCAGTCAGGATAGAATAACGTTCATTTGTTGTGATTGGTAATTTTTCCTCATCTTCTATCAACTTCTTTATTTATTGTAATTTAGATTTAATTTATTGAACAATCATTTGTCGAATAGCCGGGTGATAATATTTGTTTAGGTAATGATTTACATTAAATTTATTATGAATTATAGAACTGCTAGTTACCCGATTACTTGTTCTGATTTCGACGGGAAAGGGCGCGTGTCTAAAATCCCCGGTCGGCTATTCTTCAACATCCAAACCGTAGTTTGGATCCTAAAGTTCTAAACAAATATTACTTGGCCGAAATCCTTTGGTAATCGTTCACGGATTTTCTGGAAATAATTGGTCGTGTCGCTTATAATGCCAGTTAATCGTCGAAGGAGATCAGGCTCAAAGTTCGTCGATGTTAACGAAGAATCCCCTATTGTCAAGCAAGTGCCTTTTGACGTCCTTAAGGGTCATGGTTCAGACTTAAATAGGGTTAATTATCATGGCAGTGATTCTAGCCTTAATTCGATGTCAGTTGATGTAAAAAATCTTAGTTTAAAGGAGGAGCAAAGGCCTGAATTACTAGGAAAGAGCATGTCGCCTATAGTCCATGTTGTTGGCCCAGAGCTACCTAAGGTTGAACTGAGTTATTTCGATGGAGAGCCAAGAGGTTATTGGAAATTTATAAGGCAATTTGAGACGTATGTAGCATCAAGAGTCACGGATGATAGACAGCGCTTGCTCTATTTGATACACTACTGTAAGGGCAAGGCTAAAACAGCTATTGAAGGTTGCGTCATGATGGAGGCATCCTCTGGCTATAAAAGAGCAAGGGAGATTTTAAAAGGTTTTTTCGGACAGTCTCACGTAATTGCTCGAGAAACACTAGAGGACTTATTCAGTGCTGTGAATTTTGAGTATATTGACGGGGACCAACTATCAAATTTGGCTATAAAAATGGAAAACTGTGCCATGGTCTTGGAACAGATGAATTATACTTCTGATCTAAATTCCTTAGTTACCTTGGAGAGAATAGTGAGACTCTTGCCTCAACCTATGCAAGCCCAGTGGGCGGACTGGGTGGATAAATTGACTGAAGATGACAGGGAACCGACCTTCGACGAGCTCACTCAGTTTATCGCATCGCGTGCGAGAGTGGCTTGTAGTAGATTTGGATGGTTAGCAAACCGTTCTAGAAAAGGACATAACGTAAAGACGAACTGTCACGTGCAATCAGAGCAAGGGAATAGTTCGACAATGAAAACTAAATGCAGTATGTGTTCCTACGACTATGCCATTGATAAATGTCCACAGTTCTTAGCGCTTACAGTTCAAGACCGATGGTCTCACGCTAAAAGCAAGGGTATCTGTTTCGTCTGTCTTAGACAAGGACATAGAGTTAAGGAATGTAAGATGACAAAGCGCTGTAACGTTGAGGGTTGTGAAAAGAAACACCATTCTTTGTTGCACAGCGAGAGTGAGAAACCTGGTATCTTGAGTTGTTGCGGATATACTAAATCACTAATCAGTCAAGTGTGTTTAGGCATGATTCCCGTACGGTTGAAATCGCGAAAAGCCGAGATTGTGGGTTATGCTCTGTTGGACAACGGTTCTAATGTGACACTGATAAATTCAAACTGTTTGAGGTCTCTCGGGCTGAGCGAAGACGAAGCATCAGTGGTAGTCGAGACTGTGGGCGGTAATAGAACAATGAAGGTCACGAGTGCGCCTTTTGAGGTATATTCTTTAGATCGATCTGAACATGTTACGATTGAAGGAGCTCTGATTGTGGCAGGTATACCAGGTCATAAGCCAACAAAGTCGGCGGTGAACAGCCTAGTTAAGTGGCCACATTTAAGGGATGTACCGACAGATAACTTGGACTCTGAAGAAGTTCTGCTGTTGGTTGGTTGCGACGTACCAGAAGCACACTGGGTGTTAGACCAGCGGTTGGGTGGGAGAAAAAGCCCGTACGCTGTGAAGACGTTGCTGAGTTGGACGGTCTTCGGACCTGCGTCGTATCCGGAATATAGGAAAAGAGTGGTCAATCACACCAGTAAGATACAGACCTTGGAGAACGAAATACGTAAACTTTATGATGTAGAGTTTTCTGATGTTTATTCAAATGATAAATCAGCATCACTAGAAGATAAGGCGGCTATAAGGATTGTGGAAGAGGGCACACGCTTCGAAAATGGTCATTTTGTAGTTCCTATACCATGGAAAGTGAACCCAAATATGAAAGGGGGGAATTATGAAGTGGCAAGCAGTAGACTACAGAGTTTGAAGCGTAGATTGTTGAAGGATAACATTCTATATATCAAGTATACAAAAGGTATTGAAAGTAATTTTATTAAGGGCTATGCGGAGAAGATCCCTGAAATACAATTGCAACCTAGTTATCGCCCCCGTTGGTGCTTGCCTCACCATGCAGTTATAAACCCGAAATAGCCAGAAAAACTGAAAGTGGTCCTTGACTGTGCCGCTAAGTTTGCTGGTGTTTCTCTAAATGATATGATTTA